AAAAGTATTTCATGTGAAATTTAATCATTGAAAAATTCATTCATACATATTTTTTTCAGGATTACTTGCCAACAAATTACAATAACCTCGCCCCTAAGCATGCAGCGAATCACTGTTGGTATCAGGACAAAAAAAACTCATTAAAATTGCTGGAACTGGGTGCACAAAAATATTTGAGTGCAGTACGTCGCACCGATAGTTTTTTCGCCTGAATAGGCAAATTGAGAAATTAAAACACTTTTAATGGAGTTATTTTGCGCGAAGGAGAATGAAACAAACTGGAAATTAATTGATTTGGAAGCAAAAAAACTCTATTTCTTGCAAATCTTTTTTCTTAAAAATCGAATAATTTTTCCCGCAAAACACACTTTTATAAAAAATGCTGCTATTTCAGTTGCTGCAGGTTTTGCTTGCTGTTGGAGCAGAAATAAATTTTGAAACGATCACAAACCGTATTTCAACAAAAGTGACAAATTTTCTTAACTTGCAGTTTTTTCCATTCTTACTTAGATTTCTTCCATTCGGCATTCATTTACCTCCCTAACCTTGGCTTAATTTAATTCTCTCTGAATCTCTGACCTCACTTAAATTTATTAATCTCGTTCCAATCTATTTACGTGAGCCTCATTCATCATTTTCCGATACTAATGAAAATATCATGCAGACATTTGGCATGAAAATTCGATGAAAGTGAAGTTTCTAAGATGCGCCTACACAATTATTCCAGATTTTTCAGCCCTAGAGTGCTTCAAGAATTAGTTAGCGGTGCCAGTGTATGCAGAAGTGTCACTTTCCTAACAGTAAACAAAGGTTAAGAAGTACTTTATGAAGTAACAAATTTACAAACCAATAATTCGATCGGTGACATACTGTAATTCCATGACTGCGCGCGTTTCCTTTGCTGGCACTGGCAAATTGTTGGAATCGAGCGCAGATGTTCCGGACGAGATGGTCAACGATTTCTAAACAAAATCCAAAACTATCAACAAAAAAAGACTATTTAAAATAAAAAAAAAAAAAAAACCATTTAGCTGAATTCATAGAAAATTCGTTTCGTAGATGTGCTCGGAACCGTGCTGACTACTGTTTGAGACCCAGAGGTCAGCTTCATTGAAATGGTTCTTGGGATCAGCTTCAGAAGTTTTTGTTACATCTTGTAATAAAATATTACGTGGACAAAAGTGCCCATCACATATTGTGTCAACTTCATCAAAACAATTGTTTTTCAGTCTGTCAGTCCCCAAATCGATGGCACTCAATTGTTATTCAATCTGTCCACTTGTGTAGAAACAGGACGAAAAAAAGAGTTCAGAAAGCAGTCCAGCTGGATCAAAACACTGTTTCCTAGCAAACAGACATTCGACCAGCCCAGTGAAAAATATCACTGTTTGTTTCAGTTACGTTTGAAAAAAAGTATGACTTCAAAAAGAGTCGCTTCTTGAAATCAACAGCATATTTGTTGGTGCCAGCAGTGCCGGAATAAGGATGCTGATTAAACTGATAAATAGATGCGTGGGAGGAGATATGAGAGGGATGCAAGTTGCGGTCGGGAACCGAGAAGAATGCCGCAGGCTCGAGCTGTGGATGGATTACAATCTTTCCACCTACGACCAAAATCTACACCAATTGAGAAGTTTGAAGAAGCAACTGTTCATTTGCCTCCTCCTCCGTCTACAACAATCAATCGGACAGCGGATAACGGTAAGACCAAACAAATCAATATCTCAGTCTGAACAACGAGCAAAACAATCAAAAAGTTTTATGCTAAAAAAAATCGGAAAATTTCCGAGGAATGAACGAAGGATTTTTTTAACCATCACTGCAAAAAAGACAAACGGAAAATGCAGCTACTGAGAAAATATAGCTAACGGCAACGAAATATAACTTTTCCCACTGTTCGCCTCATCTGCGTTTTGCTCTTATCTCATTAATCTGTATCATTAGACAAATAATCTCTGCGGCTATGTTTTCTTATCTCATTAATCTTTAATATCTATTATTTGCTATCTAATAATTTGTACCACAATCGACATATCGGCGAAGTCCAGTTATTGCGCTGAGTTAAGGAACATATAGCTTAATGAGCCGAAACATCTTGTTCACGGTCAAACTATCGATTTTTCACATATATTAGAAATTGTATTCTTTAATATTTGCAGTATTCTTCATATTAATTAATATTTATTCTTGAAATCGTAGTTTGATTAAGGAGTACTCCGGCATCTAACATCAAATAAATATTGTTTGTTAAACATATTTTTTGTTTATTTGTCTAATGATACATCGATTTGACAGAAATGTAGGAGTTTCTATTATTTTTCGTAAGATTCCGTATGAAAACCATTTGGAAGTTTCAGTTCGCTTCGTTTCAATAATCTAATTGACAAATGTCAAAGAAACTTTTCAGAATTTGAACTTTGATCATTTAGCACTCTGTTAAAATGACTGTGTTCGGCGGAAGCAACAAAAAATTTTCCTATTAAAATACTGGAATTTAATTTCAATTTTTAAAGATTCCACAACAAAAAGCCTGACATATCCGATGCGTGGGAGTAACCCAGTAACATCTCTGTCATAGGATACTCGCACCGATTGATCGGACGCATTATACCTCAAATATTTGCTACCGAAATTCGTTTTTGCACTAGACTAAATTAAAACAAAGTATTTTTATCTTATCTTTTTCAGATTTTCTTTACAATTTCAACACAAAAATGAGTGAAAAGAAAGTAAAAAGTGTGAGATACGAGAAGTGCTAAGACCGCACAGGTGAAACACACGGATATAAATAGCTCAAGAGAAGAGGAAACAAAATAAATAGCTCAGAGGGAAACAAATGAACTAGCTGCTTCTACAGAGTATATTATAGATGCCAATCAAACAGCCCTGATAAATGGCATCCTTCAGACCATCAAACAACACTGAATTCCCGGAGGATCAGTTATAAAAAGGCCATTTTGCGGACGCTGCTCCAAGACTTCCAAAAGGTTTGGAAGACTCAAAGGACCGAATACTACTGGCACGCAGTTTCGTGTTGCCAATGACTATGAGAGTCATAGTTGTGCCTCCTACTGTTGCTCCAGAAATACGCCAAAAAATTTGCCAAAGGAAATTTCTGTTCAGGTATCTCCTACGCAATTACCATCGCACACGAAAAACGAGGATAAATTCAGTGCGCAGTAACGAAACTACAGCTATCAAAGTGTGAAAATTAACAGACATCAAAGCGTGGGAGCTAACTGCTTTCACACTTTGATAGTTGTAAGTCTTTGTCGACAACCCTAGAATTCTTTTTTAGAAACTAAGAAGAAGAGTTTGAAGCCGGCCCTCATTTTCAGATAACTTTGGTAAATTTTTTACCCGAAAATTTTCATTTCATTTCTTTCGTTTAATGTTTTATACCTGTTTCGTCTTAATAAATCCCCACTGCAGAGTTACAGATAAGGCGTAGGAAATAAAACTCTTGAAGAATGTCAACAGTTCCTTATCTCAATGAGGTCTTTCCAAAATTGCCACTTTGAAAAAATCTGTTCACACCTTCTTTAATAATAACAAGAACGATAGCAATAGTAATAATTATGACAATACTTTATCTGGTAATGAAATGAACCCCCATTTTTGTGAAGGGAATAAAATATTTGAAAAGAAGGAAAAGAACTTTTGAATCAATGTTGGTTTGCTTCGTTTACCAGTTAGCAGCTTGAAGTGGTTAGCGGTGAAACGGATGATTTGGGTAAGTTTGCTTAGCCGGAGGTGTAGTAATATGCTGTACTGGGTTCCCTAACTAAAGCAAACAATGCTAACCAGCCAGTCAGCTACCATTGAAACCTTCTTCATCCCTTAAAGAGCAAATAAATTTTCATACTTGTTTCTATTCCATTAAAAAGAAACTCTGGCGATGTGGCTTTGTATAAAATGTATTTTTTTTGTTAGCCATCTTATGGCATGAGTTGCAGAGTACGGAGCTGGAAGAATATTTCGTTTTAAAAGTAAGCCTATCAACATCGGCTAGCCAGAAGATATGAGGAAATTTCTAGAAGAAAAAAATAGCTCGTTTTTATGCGTTTTTGCTTACATGCAAATTGCGTGTGTGTGTTTGTGTGTGTGTGTGTGTGTGTGTGTGTGTATATGTTCGCCTGTCTGGGTATTTCAACTCGGCAACCAAGCAAGCTCCGGCGCCGAAATTTTACTAGTGGGTTCCCCGGCCACATGCCACTCCGGAACCACGGTACCAACCCTTATGCAAGTCTGGGCCGCGTGTACGAAAGGGTCAAAGTTTTGGCGGGAAAATTGCTAACTCAGAAACGGGAAAAGCTAGAAAGTTGAAACTTTGAGACTGTGTTCCCCGTCCACAAAGAACTCAAAGATTTCAAATTCAGCCCCCGAGTATGCATGGTTCCCGCGTATAGCGCCACAAGGGTTCTGACACGAAAATCGCTAACTTGGAAACCAGGGAAGCTGGGAGGCTGAAATTTTCAGGGAATGTTCCAAGCCATAAACAACTTATAAGATTCAGCGTCCAGGAATGTGTGGCTCTCAAGTATGTCTTCGTGGAAATTTTTGGCGGAAAAATGGCTAACTTGGGAATCAGAAAAGCTGGGAGGCTGAAATTTTTAAGGAATGTTCCCAGCACAAATACAACATGAACCTATCAAGTCCAGCCCCCAGTTGTACGTCGTTCTCATGTACGGCCCCGTGAGGTTTTTTGGCGGGAAAATGGCCAACTTGAGAGCCAGAAAAGCCGGAAAACTAAGATTTTAGGAGAATATTCCCTATTCAAACACAACTTAAAGGTTTCAAATTCAGCCTCCATGTACGCGTGGCCCTTGCATACAGGCACTTAAATTTTTGGCGGGAAAATTGCTCATTGAACAGCTGGGTCATTTTCAAACCATTGGCGACGCGCAATGGGCAGGACCGTACGATCATGCGTTTTTGCAGTGTTTCGTGCAGTAATAAGATCACTCAAAATTCCGCTACTAGAAACATCTGATCCGCGAATTTCGGGAAGTTAATTGCCCACACTATACTTGGACAGGGAATATACCCTTGACATCCCAGGTTCCTACCTTGCTCAGTTCTCGAGTTACCCAAATCACAGCCAGAAAATTTCACGGGGCCGTACATGGCAACCACGCGTAATGTGGGGTTAAATTTGATAAATTTAAGTTGTAGATGAGTTGGGAACATTTCCTGAAAGTTTCAGCCTCCCAGCTTC